TAAAAACCAGCTGGTAGGAATGTGAGCATAGGATAAAATGCAGAATGACTAGAAGAAAAAACCTACAAAATTTTTACCTCCCTCACGAGAGGCCAGGAACCCCCCTTCCCTCCGTCCCGAAAATGCCAAAACGCATTCTTTCGAAATTTCAACTCAACAGAAAAGCTCTAAAATTTCATCTTTCCTAAAAATTAGCCTATATCTGAAGGGAAGGAAGCTCATAGCACAGAAACCGAGCTAAAGTGATGCGAATCGGAGAGGAAAGGGTATTTTAAAAGATGACGAGATCAAAGACAAGCTTCGATTGATAAGAGCTCGCTAATTGTTTTCTACATCCATATCTTATCAACCAGTCAATTTTTTTAAACAAATACCTATTTTGCATGGAGGCGTACCGAACGTCAACATTCTGTATTTCTCTTATCCAAGAAGGGAGAATTAGACCAAAGGGAAACACCCGTGTTTTTAACGTGTTGAAAAAATTAACAGAAAATCAGTACTGTTGTTAGTACATGGCGATTTAAACATTATTCCGTTTTCAGGAAAGTGATCAGATGCCCAGGATTTAGAATCCTAAATTGATTTTTCCCGAGTAAAAATTCTAAAAATTTAAAAAGAGACGATTGATTCTGAAATTGTGCATAATGAGGCAGAGTACGAAAGAATTATTTTTGTGCTTGCTTGTATTTCATATTTAACACAGCACGACTGTTACACCACCTGCAAGAACTACACACTGACGCATTTACCTGCCACACTGATGCAGTTGTCACATTCTGGACGAGTCAATTGGCGGGCGGCTAGGGGCAAGGGGAGCAGCGGCGAGCAGAGATGCCACTTGAGTGCCTCTTTTGTGGATTAATTTGATTTTTTCGAGATGGGTAGTTTTTTGAAAGGCTTGACCATCTCGATTGCCCTTCTAACTCCCTCAAGTGATCAACGCAAAAGGCAGATCAATCAACGCAAAGCAAATGTAGCTTGGATAATCTAAATGCAATAATGCAGCAAACGCGAATGCGATATTTGTCATTACTAGGGCAAAACAAGTTACAGATTAAGCGAATTAAGTTGATCATGCTGACATACCGCAGAGCATCGAAACGAATGCCGACAATTACTTTTACAAGCAGCAGAGAGGCAAATTTGCTCGGATTAGTAGCTTTAGCCAAATTGACCTCAAAATCTCAATACAAGAACATTGTTGCGAAAGATCTGCTTCCGAGATACGAATTTGAGGATACTGCGGAAAAAAGCGAAGGTACCAGATCGGAGGCTGCTCCATCCGTTCACCGAATACTACTGATGTATACAACAGTTACACTATTACGCTTCTGCAAGTTCATTGGCGCTATGAAGCAAAGATGATGCTGGACATGATGGCAGACAAATTATTCGCTTATCAGTTAAGAGAGTGTGGTGAAGTGTTGGAGGCATTGCTGTATTAATCCGCAATTATCTCATCAACAGTGATGTCACAATCTGGACATATGCAAATTCCTAACAGCAGTTCGTAGTAGCCAACTCCGTTTGCCTTATTCGGGAGTGGACAGAGGAAATCGGTGAAGAAAAGAAGAATGAAAATTAAATGTATAAGATCAAATGTACAGCATGAAGCGATATTGTTAAAACACTGTACATCAAATTTGAGCTAATTATGGAAAAACAACAGATAGACAAAGCGAATTATTCAATGTGATGTCAAGAGAAAACAAATGGGGCCGTAAATGTGATGGAACTTTTCGAACAGCTACGTATGATATGCATGAAAGATGCGCAAAAGAAGAAAGGAGAAATTGCCAGCTGCAGTAGTGACCAGGCAACAGCTGATCAAAGTCAAGCATGTTGCATTGATGGGTCTGACCCAGTTTTTCACTGCAAAGCTAAATATTTTGATTTATGGCTCAGCTTCTTTTCAGCCAAGATTGCAAAGGTCGCTCGGAAAATCTGTGCGTAGTCTTGAGGTCACCGATGTCATTGGCATGCATCCACAAGCCGGGTGAAGCTATTTAACAAACTAAAAACTGTAGAAATGTGCAATAATTGTTCCCAACTTTAAATCTTTAAGTCTGACGTAACAGAAAAGGAATTGGAGTGGTCAGCGACGTTTATCCTTCAAGATGCGCATGTCTCAGTTCCCTGACAAATGGGATGGCATTCTTGACCGATTACAAAGTAATAATCCCTCCTGTCGGTACGGCTTTGAACATCAAGTGAGTTTTTCGCCGTCCTAAATGGGTATCTGTTGCAGAGCGGAAGACTGAGCAAAGGATTCTGAAGTGCTCTTCATTTATTGAATCCAGAATTTCAGTATATATGCTGCGTGCCTCTGTCATAATCAAATTTTGAAATTGCTGCATTTCGTTTTTAAATAAGTATGCAGCGTTCGAAGGCGACTAACATTTCGAACTTTTTAAAAAGATCTCGCTGCTGTTTAAATTAAGTCGGGTCCCATTTCATGAATAAATTTTTCATTTATACTGAAATCTGACTATTAGCTTTTTGTTCAACTGATCAGCACGCTATATTTTATCCCTGATTACTGCAAATATCACCGGAAACATAATCAGCTGAAGTGCACCTGCCTTCACAATTATTTCGATTCACAAGCACAACACACGCTCCAGAAACAAAACATATCAGAACCATACTACCGCGATGCGTTCAGGCTAATGTTCGGCTGCGTCTATTAACCACAACAGTGTTAAGCTGTTGTGAGGTTAGGCCTACTTGCACGCAGTGACGCTAGCTGCACCACTGATATAGTAAATTCCGGAGCAGTGATGACATCTGTGGCTGCAACACTATTTTTGCTGCTGTCACGTAAATGT